ATATATATATATGTGTGTGTGTGTGTATATATATATATATATATATATGTATATATATATATATATATATTAAAATAAACTACTACTTACAACTACTACTACTGCTCCTACTATTTGTAATACTATCCCTACTTCGTGGGTTTTCACTTATCGCGGGAAGAGCTTAAACCCCGCCATAAACGAGGGACTACTGTACCCAGAGAAAAAACGCAGAGAAGATGCAAAGTAAACTCCACCCAGAAAGGTCCATGGCTGGAATTTGAACCGGTACAACCTGCTCACTGAGAGGTGACAGCTCTACCAACTGAGCCACCATGCTGCCCCTAGAGTAATGCCAACTACGTAACATCGTTTGGTTTACAAATTAAGCACTGGTCTGTCATAACATTAATAATGAACTAAATGCATATCACCTACATTTAATGCCAAACTATAAAACTAGGACCATCTTATGGAGAAAAGGGATGGAGTTAAAGAGATAAAACTATTTTTGGTCAATTCTTATAAATGCTGAATGTGTTCTATGTGTGCAAACACAAGACTTGACCATGCTCAGAGCATGTGTTGTGAATACTCTCAGCAACTAACTTCTGTATCAAATTTTATCTCAATATGTGTAAAAGAAATGAGGCTACGGTAGCTTGGTGGTCGGTGTGATTATTTTATAACCCTGGAGCTGCAGGTTTGAGCCCGGGTTGTGTCAGAAAATGGGGATTTGGCGCAAAACAATTGCCAGAACTTTTGTGCAAATTCAGTCGATGTGGCAACCCCTGCAGAAGGGAGCAGCTGAAAAAAATGAACACCTGTAAATGGACTGAGCTATAACAACTTTTGTGTTTGCTTATAGCTGTAGTGGCCATATTGAATCAGGCTGAATGAAGATAATCCCTTGAAGATGTTTATTATCCATCCACAGGTTCATGAGACTTTTTTTTTTTTTTAACAGACGAACACATAAAACAGAAGCCAAAACATTTCTAATAAATTCATTTGTAAGCTTACGTAATGTTTTTATCACCTGCATTGGTCACGGGTTAAACTTGGTATGCAAGACTCAGTTCCATGTTATTCCTGTGCAGCCATTTATATAATCATCTGACACACCCACAAATGAAAAAAGTAATAAAAAAAATGATAGAGCAAAACTCATAAATCAAACAAAACTTCAGTTTAGACTAATCAAAACGAATAACTTCTCAACCAGGAAGTGTGCAAGATCAGTAGCTAAACTTTATTAGGTACAAAGTATTAAAAATCTGTAACCCTCCACCTAAATTTAACCTTTTAAAGCATAAACTTGACTTACTATTATAAAGTCATTTAAATGTTTTTAATCAAGT